GGGAAGAAAGAAGCGGCCGGAGCGCCTCGTATTCGGTGGGGCCCGCCCAGATCCACTCGCTTGCCAGTCAGAAAGAAAATATTCACTCTTCGTGCCAAGGGCTGGAGGAGGAAACTCTTTGCTTACTGTGAAGCCGAGTTTTTAAAACCGACAGCCCTGCTCAGCATGGACGCCCTTGTTTGGAAGCAGGGCTTTACTTACTTGGAAAATAAGTTTACGAAACTTTTTTTTACAGACTTCTGTAACCTCCATGGTACAAAAGAGCAAAAGCTTGAAAGAGTTTACGCTTTGGACTACAACTCCCCAAATCCACAGGTCGTGGTGGCAGGGATCTTCCGGGAGTTGCATTCCAAGAAGAGAGTAACCCCAATCCAAGCTCTGCCTAAGGTTGATCTAGAAAGAAAACCAGAGATCCTCTCCCTTTGGAGAAGAGAATCTAGCTGCAGTTTTTTGGAGATCCCTTCCTGCAGCTGCCCCCCCAATGTCTGCCATGCTACTCCCAAGCTTCTGCAGTATCAGGATGGGGTACTTCAGCCGCCCACGATTGTGCTTTGTTGCTTAATATGCACAGAAATACATCCTACTATTTGCCCCCAGAACTGTTGTTAGCAGTGTTGCAAAGTTTAATCTGTTTGCCGTGTGTTGAAGGAGAGCAATCGCCACCAGCTGGGACCAAATTTATCCCTTTAAGTCAACCTTTAAGTGTGGATGGGCCACGAGGCTGAGAACCAAGTGTCCCCGTCACACTCATCATCCTGCAGTCTGCTTTAGACCTCAAACGCCCCAGAACGCCCTGGACACAATATGCTGCTCGTCCTCCTTTCTGGATATATGGATACAAACAAAAGCAATTAAAAAGGAATTCAGGGATCCCTAAAATTAATTCCCTATCATGAGGGAGAGGGCAATTTTCATCATCCCTCCTTTCTCCCCAAAGTCATGATTGTAGGGTAACACCCTGTATAAACAAGCCTTGAAGATGTTCCTGACTTCCCCACCCCTTTATTAAAGACTATAAGTGGGGGCATTTGAAACCATAGTGGTGTCAAGGAAGACAACTACATTATGTAATAGCAACTTCCTCTTTGCATATTGTGAGGGTTCGAAACTAGCCTTTGCTTCTTCCTCAAATAAAACAGGAGTCGTTTTTAAAGTGAAATCCAAACTAGGGTTTATTGTGTCATTCAAGGGTAAAAATTCTTTCAGCGGTTCTCTTTGTAACTCCTCTTGCGGTGCCAAAAGACATCATAAAGGGAACCAGACATCAGGTTCAAAAGGGTTCAAGGATTTAACCTCCCATGGTCCAAGTAGAAAGGGGTCATAACTCAAGTTAAAGTGTTCCTCTCTATCACTTCTCAATAACGGTAGGGTCTCCTCGTCTCCCTCCTCTCTCCAAAATGGTTCCCTCTCTCTTTCAAGGGAACCCCATGGTCCTGGAGGTACCCCATCCTCCACACCTTCTCCACAAGCCATGCCCGGCGTTCTTCGGCTTCCCTGGCCACTGCCTCCTTTTCCTCCCTTAGCCTCCTTCTCCACTTTCATGCCTCAGACTCCCCCCAGTAGGACGGTGTAACAGCCACCCTCAAACCTCAGAGGGTGGTTGCTACTTTACTTTAAAACTCTGCTGCCACCAACTTATCCTGAAAAATCAAAAGAAGGACAAGTGTAACTTTGAAAACAAAAACTGGTTTATTGATTACAAAAAAATAAGCATGGTAAATCACTGGTAAAGAATCAATTAGTCAATCACTGTTAATAAAACACTGGCTCTCACAGACTTTTCTTCACTGACAGGCTCACTCTAACTAAAAAACTCTCATCTCAAACTCTATCTATCCCTCAAAACTGATCTCTCAAACACCATACACCCCTTTATATCCCAGCTCCTCCCCTTTTAGCACCACCTTCCGTCCCCTCATTGGCTGCTGTTCCACTGCCCAGCTGTGACGGACAGGTGAGGGCAGGGCTGAACGTTACAGACGGTCGCTGGGGTAGTCCCTTTCTCTGGTGATAGTCAGCTTCTTCCCAGGGCACCTTTATCTTTTCCCATTTCCCTGTCCAAGGATCCTAGACCCAGAAAAGTTCCCAACCCCTCCGGTATGCTGTCTCTCTTCCTTTTTTCGTTTTCGTTTCGTTTAGTCGTTTAGCCGTGTCCGACTCTTCGTGACCCCATGGACCAGAGCACGCCTCCTGTCTTCCACTGCCTCCCGGAGTTGTGTCAAATTCATGTTGGTTGCTTCGCAGACACTGTCCAGTCATCTCACCCCCTGTTTCCGCCGTTCATCCTCTGTTGTCCCCTTCTCCTCCTGCAGTCACACTTTCCTAACATCAAGGTTTTTTCCAAGGAGTCTTCTCTTCTCATGATATGGCCAAAGTACTGGAGCCTCAGCTTCAGGATCTGTCCTTCCAGTGAGCACTCAGGGTTGATTTCCTTTAGAATTGATAGGTTTGTTCTCCTTGCAGTCCAGGGGATTCTCAAGAGCCTCCTCCAGCACCACAATTCAAAGGCATCAATTCTTCGGCGGTCTGCTTTCTTTATGGTCCAGCTCTCACTTCCATACATCACGACAGGAAAAACCATAGCTTTGGCTATTCGGACTTTTGTTGGCAAGGTGATGTCTCTGCTTTTTAAGATGCTGTCAAGGTTTGTCATCGCTTTCCTCCCAAGAAGAAGGCGTCTTTTTTTTCTTTTATCTCTCCCATTCCCGCCTCTATTATGGACGTCACCCCTCTTTTTCCCCCGCCAATTCCCCTTCAGTCTGTGTGGCTACTGTTAAGCCTCAAGGGTTTTCCTCCAGTTCCCAGGTGTCTATTTCCCCATGTATACTCTCATGAGAGGTTGGCGAAGGGGTGGTCTGCACCTCTTTAGACACCCTGTGGGCAGACGGCACTCCAACAAGAGCTTCTATGCTCTCTCGCCTTTCACACGTACCAACTTCTAATCTGCAATATAGTAAGTCCCCGATTGGAGGGACATTCAATAAAACATTTCCCCCACCCCGGGAGGCTTATCTGAAAACCTAATTTAAAACAATGTGATTCCCTGGAAAGAGATTTAACATTTGGGGAAAAAACACCAAGCACTCTCATTGAGCTTTTAAACTCCTTTCTAAGTGATCATGGCAACGTTTATGTAGCCAGGATGTATACAGAAATAATCAAAGCAATTCACCAAATAGTGACTTTGCAACAGACTCCCAAAGTAACCACACAACGTCATCTGCAGAAATGCTTCCTTGTTAAGATTTCTGCTTTGGTACAAATTTCATCGTGGGTTGCCCAGCTTCATGTTATGCACCTTTGTCATTGTCACGTTCCTAAGGGATTCAGCAGGCAAAAGTTCAATAAGGCAGTCCAAGGTCAGAAGTCCAGGAGATACGAAACAGATGCCAAATTGTCAAAGCCAAAACACAAGCCATAGTCAGAAGTCAGAGTCCAAAAAACAAGGGTCAAGAGAGCAAGGTTCAAGATAAGCAGGAGCGTGGATGCGAGCCAGAGAATTGACTTGTTGCTTCCAGGCGCTTCCAAACCTCTTGGTACAAATTATATAGCAGCAACAATAATCTAATTCCTAGAAACATTCCATCCTGTTAAAACTCAGGCCCGGTTGACCTGATGTTCCTATGAGAAGCATTCATGCGAGCCTCAGACAGTGAGGGAGGAGAATCTGGCGGTGATTCAGCTGTCTGTGATACTAATTGCCCAGCATTTTCCTCAGCTGTAATTAACCCCTCTGATTCCAGATCTTCAGCCGAATTCATGACATGGGGGGGGGAAGACGTTGGAGCTTAAGAGCTCTTGGCACCACCACCAACAAGGGGCAAAATAAATTAGCTTGCTTGGTTTCCCCCTCCCCCAAAGGATGTTACACATGAGCCCCCACATCCAAGTCAAGTTGACTGTGACGAAAGAGGTCTCTGGACTCCTGTTTATGTGATGTGCTGGGCAAGGCAGACATATAGTAGCTCCCAGGCAGAGAAGCTCCAAACCAGGCTGGAAAGATGTCCAGGGTGTCATAATCATCCAGAGAATCCTACAAAACAGAGTGATTTGCTTAAACGAGAACCAGAACTCAAGCTGGAGATCTTTGGGGACTCTTTGTGATCTGCATCTAGAAGAAGGGCTGGACCTTTAAAAGAAGAGGCAACTTTTAAGATAAGGGAATAGTCCTATGTACAAGAATCCAGGGTTTCCTCTTGCCTCCTTTTTCTGGTTTCTTTGGAGGAAGAAAGACTAGAGAAGGGAAGGTGCCCTTGTGCTACCAGAAAGTGGAATAAACCTGCCACACAGCTAAACCAGCGAGGAAGCAAACAACACACTAAGCCAACCAGGAAGCTCCATTGTTTGTTTAGCTGCTCATACTCAAAACAGAAGAGATCAGCTGTGAGCACCAACACCCTCTTGCACATAGCAAGCTAAGATTCCTGGCTTGTTGTGGCATGTTAGTTTGCTGATGGATTCTTCCTGCTGTTCAGAGACTATGTCCTCCCTTGGCCGCCTTCCTTCTGAATGAAACAAAGCTGGGCCATTTGGGCCCTTCCTCTTTGGCTGCCATCCTTAGATTTTCAACTTGTTCTTCAGTTGGGAAAGGCTTCCCTGGGTGATGGCCTTGTGCAGTGTTTCCAGCAAGGACCACAATGATGTCTACAGGGAATCAGAACCAGGCATTCATTCATTATTTTCAAAGCAAAGCTATTTCCATCCTATGACCATCTCCTTGGGAACTCTGTTTAGGCAGGATGTTTGTGTCGTGATTATATGTGATATATAATATTTATATACGAATACCCACATCTCTAATTTTGACTCTCTTTTTTGGGTTCAGATGACGTACAGCCATTACAAATTCTTTTGTTTCCCCCTCCATGCTAGCTCCATATCAAATCCAGCCCACTGGGAGACTACTTCCATGTTTCATCA